TGGTGTGGAGGTGACCAGGATCAGTGACCTCTATGTAAGTGACCAGGATCAGTGACCTCTTGTCTTGTTCCCAACAGTTACCTTTAAGCTGTATGACAAGGATGGCAACGGGCTTCTCGACAGCTCTGTAAGTACACAACTGCACACAGTTACACACATCTGCAAACCATCGTACACAGCTCCACACAGTGGTGCACAGCTCTACACCCTGGTATACAACTCCACACTGTGGTACACAGCTGCACACTGTGGTACGCAACTGCACACTGTGATACACAGCTCCACACTGTGATACACAGCTCCACACTGCGATACACAGCTGCACACAGTGGTACACAACTGCAGTCTGTGGTACACAACTGCACACTGCGATACACAGCTCCACACTGCGATACACAGCTGCACACAGTGGTACACAACTGCAGTCTGTGGTACACAACTGCACACTGTGGTACACAGCTCCACACAAAGAGACACTAACCCCCTCTGTGAGGATGGGCAGTACAAACAATCATCCAGCGTTGCTCTCTGCGCCGATAACCAGTTTGAACCCTTATCCAGTTTTTTTTTTGCAAAAGGCTGTTTTGGTGCCCAGCGTTGGCACAAAGGGCGCTTTTAGCGAGCAGTGACTCGTCGGCGTGGGCGGCGCTAGCTCTCGAAGAGAGTGATTCACAAGATGCCAAGCGCTCAGATGGCAGGGCAGACCGCTGACTGTGCTCTTGGCGTTGGCAGGAAGTGGACCGGATCATCGCCCAGATGATGCGCGCTGCCGAGTACCTGGGCTGGGACGTCAGCGAGCTGAGACCGGTAGGGACTCTCTGCTGTCAGCATAACCACGGGGGCTAGGCTGCTCCTCCACAGCAACCGCAGACTGGAGACTTAGCATCCTCTGTCTTCTGAGATGCCACCCGCTAATTTATTGTCACAAATAGTTCTCCTCAGTCACTTATGTGACGACAGTAGCTCCACGAACTTTACTGAGCTCTCGGTCATCCCACAGCTCAAGACTCAGGCTGTGAATAATCGTTATTCAGACTCTACAGCCTCGTTTCTGAGCTGGACTCGAAATCCATTGCTATGAGACTCTACTGTTTATGGACTTTTTAAGCATAATAACCAGTACTCGTTGTCTGCTCTGGGCCTCACCTCGTGCCTTGTGGTTCCGGATTTGGTTGCTGTTTGCTGCCGCTCTCCCCAGGTGGCTTATGGGTAACGGATGGGTTAGCAATACTCATTTAACAGTGGTGTATGTAATCCGTTTATTGAGTGCTGATTCACCTTTCCAAATCTTAAGGGCACTATACATAGTGTGCAAGAACATACAGGATAAACTGTAAGCCAATCGGACATAGGCTCTGTCATCACTTAAACATCACGGGAGATTTGAAAAAAGTCAAAGAAGTTGTCTCTCATAGGGTCTGAGGACAGGAATTCTGTAACAATGCCGTCCCCCACAAAGTCGGAGGTTTAGCCCTTGGTACAGTGAGCAGAGGACCAGCCTCAGCTGAACAGAACCTACAAGAGGGATGTAAACATGAAGGAGTTCAGAGATGTGTGATGGAGATTGTATAGAGCCTTGAAAGACAGTAACAAGATCTTGTATTGAATACGTGACTTTATGGGCAACTCATGTAGAGATTTAAGTGTAGGAGTGATATTCTGCCAGGGCCTGCTGTGAGTTAGTAGTCTAGCTGCAGGGTTCTGCACAGACTACAGCTTCCTGAGCGGAGTGTTGGGGAGCCCAAGGGGGAAAAGGAGCTGCAGAAGTCAAGACTGGACCTTGGCAGAAGTGTGGTCAAGCCCAGTGTGGCCCTGCTGAGCGTGGCCCGGTTCCTCCGCAGGTCCTGAAGGACATGATGACCGCCATCGACTCGGATGGGAACGGGACGGTGTCGCTGAAGGAGTGGATCGAGGGAGGCATGAACAATGTCCCGCTGCTGGTGCTGCTGGGACTGCAGGCAAGAGACCGGCTCTTCTCTCTCTCTCTCTCACTCCCCTGCTCCATCGCCTCGTACTGCCCCTCTTCCACCTCCTCCACCCCTCCCTCCCCCTCTCTGTCTGTCAGGGCTCCTCGTCTCTCTGCCTACCCGCTCTGGATACAGCCGTCCTTTTGTTTGGGTAATTCCCAATGACTTCCCTCTCGCTCATGTTCCCTAAAACAGGAATAGCCAAGACTGTCCTGCCCCTGAGCAATTGTCCCATAAAACAAGTCAAGATTCCATACCTATGACAACAGAGGCTCATGACTGTCTGAGAGGTTGAATGGGCTGTGCTGATGTGTCGATTTCATTCTTCTTTCATTTAGTGCACTAATGCTTTTACACTAGACAACAGGGTCAGATCTAGCTGTACCTGCCTGCAGCAAAAAGGTGCCAAGTGCGCTTTCCGATTGTTTTTACCTTTGCTTCATTTCTTCTAAAACAGTTTTTATGGGGTATAGTAGATTAGCAAATATTTCCACTTGTCCCCTCACAGACACGGATGCAAACAACGAGTATGGTTTCAAATCAGGCCTGGGGTGTTTGCGTTATAAATGTGATATCTTTATCCAAACTCTCCCTGCGGTATAGCAGGCAGGCTCTCAGGGAATTGCTCAGTGCCTTTCCCTGGGCAAATTCTTGCCGTTATGAGCTGCAGCCCGTGATAATTGTCAAAATCGCGGATCTCGGTGACTGTGGTGCCAGCAGGATGCAACCGATACCAATCTTGAGACCCATCTCACGCTGCCGTATTTGGGCTTGTGGCTTCTGCGTGGTCAGAACTTGGCCGTTCCCGGGCCCTCCCCTTTCTCAGCCGCGCCGATCGCCTCTCTGTTCTCACGAGGGAAACACTCGCCAAAGAAAGCGGCTAGTCGATCAGGGGAGCTCCCGCCGCTGCCTGTAATTGGCGGATCCCAGAGAAACGGCCTTATTCCCGGGACGCTGGCCGTTGGGGTTTCCCGCGGCAGCGGCAGGAAGCAGCTGACTCCGTTGTCCGAGAGATAGATGGGATAAACACGTTGGGAAGTCAGCGCAGAGTCATGGAAACATGAAGTGCGTCAGTCCAGGGAGAAGGCTGGTCTGCTGAAAGGGCTGTTTCCTGTGTTAAGACGCAGGGCAAAGCGAGGACATCTGCCGGGTGTTTCTCTTGCGGAATGGAGCTCTCACACGCTCTCTGCATCACTGTTCAGTTCCCAGTATTAGTTTCCCACACAGCCTAGCGAGGTAACGTACAGTAGTTCAGGTGGGTGGCTGCATCGGCATGCATAGTCTGCAAAGGAACAAGTAATAGGTTTATTCCATGCTGAAAAGAGAAGAGAGAACACACAACGTTTTGGCTGTGAAGCCTTCTTCAGGTGTGAGCAGGTTCCTCACACCTGAAGAAGGCTTCACAGCCGAAAACATTGTGTTTTCTCTCTTCTCTTTTCAGCATGGAATAAACCTATTACTTGTTCCCTAACGAGTTAACGGTCAGTTCAGTGATCTGAAGACAAAGGGGAAGATGTGCGCCTCTCGATACTGGCACACGCTCCCAGTCTGCGGGCGCACCTGTCTCGGGCCTGTGCAGAACTTCGCCAGCGCAGACGTGACGCCAAGGCATGGTGATGCTGTTTTTCTGAGGAGCTGGGTGTCAGATGGCAGGGCACACAATCAGAGATCGTTTCAGTGGGAGCCAGGAGAAATGTGTGCATGCGTGAAACATAACAAGTCAGTTTTCTTCAGGGTTGCCCTTTGACCTTTAACCTGCTGGCCTCCTGACAGTGTCATCGAACAGGGCAGATGCATTTTTCACTGCCCTGCCTGTCTGGCCCTCCTGCGTGTGGAGTTGGGAGCTCACTACCAGCTGTCCTATCTGAACTGGAGCATAAATAGTGAATGGGCGTTGAACCTCCCTTGCATTTAATACAAAAATGTGTTTGACACATTCTACGCAATTTTTTTTCTCTCACATCACTCATCGCATCACATCGTAGGACTGTCTGACTTGCGAATGAGCCACTTCCTCCTTTGCAATACGGCCCTAGGACTTCCCTTTGAGATCCGTCTCTCTCTGTCGAGCTTGGCATGAAATATCAGAGCAGAAGCCGGAGGAAGACAGCTGCCTTCCTCTGAGGTGGCTGGCTTTTCCTACAGTCAAGTGCTGGCTGTAGAAGTGACAGTGTTTTCACTTTGACAGATGCCTGCTACATTGACTCTCTGCGCAAAGATGCTGATGGCAGGTATTATGTAACAATTAAAGACTGATGCTCTGTTTTCAGACTGATCAGCAGAAAGACGAGCAGGGAAAATGCCAGCCATCCATTGTCCAGATTAGAAAGTCTCGTGGGCAGTAAATTCTCCAGGTTTTACTGCCGTTATTGAGCCTACTCTGGGGAATGCCAGCGGGACTACACAATAATTCAGACAGTTTAGATTTCCCGCGATGGCCCTAAATAAACAGATTGATTGCCTTTAACAGGGGCGATCAGTCTCTGTCCTTCAATCGATTGAAGGGGAACCGCAGTCCCAATTTCTCAGAATGGTTATTAAATCCGGGTTACAACATATATTCATTAACGGTGCAGAAAAGAATGATTAATTCCCAATTAAGCACAAAATCGTGAACTTTGTGAAAGGACAGTGAGTCGCCATGTTGTCGCAAAGCCCTGGTCTCGCCTGGGGCGAGCATGAGAGTTCCCACAAATTGTGATCCTGCTCGCTAGTCACTGTAATGACTAATGTAATGTGATGTATAAGTACATGCTGTGCAGAAATGTTCCAACGTGATCAGCATACCTAGTTAACAAGTAAGTAGCACTTCTGTCGGCAAAACTGTCTTGAAATCGAGAGCAATATTGGATTGAAAGAGATGTATTCACAAGCCTGCTTGCTTACAATGTCACAGGGCCGCTTCGTGTCACTGGAAGATTTGTTGCCTCGTTCTGAATCACGGAACATGGTGTTGGCGAATACCTGGAAATTTCATCAATTTTGTGATGTAGATTGGAGGTTTTACAGGTTACTGTGTACGCCTTACTTTTATTGTGGTTTGAAGCACTAGCTAGTGCTGATTCTTTCTTGTAGTTCCCCTTTAAAGTCAGTTAGATCTTCAATTGCAATGAATTTAAAAAGACACCGCATCGATCGCCCTCGTCGAACTGAATGCCCTGACCTGGAAGATATCCGCTGACTGATAGGATTTGTCATGTTGGCATGAGTTTTCGCAGAAATTCTGAATTAGTGCAAGCAACCAGATAATGATGATGATGATGATGATGATGATGATGCAGGGACACTTATCTGCCCTATCTGCATGCAGGACTGATAAAATGACACAGAAATTTCAAGAGGCAGTGTTGTGTTACTGTACTAATACCTCGGTCTCTGTTTCAGATGACCCAGAAGGATGGTCAACACCTGTGGCGGCTGAAGCATTTCAACAAACCAGTCTACTGCAACGTTTGTCAGAACATGCTGCTGGGCCTCAGGAAGCAGGGCCTGTGCTGCACTTGTAAGTCTGTCCACCAGAGGGCACTCTACACACACACACACACACACTGTCGCTCCACATGCAACACTAACAGCTAGATCTTGGCCAAATATCAGCCCTTCTGTTCCATCACTTGGCTGGATATTAGGCACTACCACCTCGTGCAGTGTCTGATTAATGTGTTTATTCAGTTTTACAATTTTAAGATGTTTGTTGTACCCAAAGCCCACTCTGGACTGGATTAAGTGAAACTGTATTTGACTATGCAGAACAGAATGAAACGGGAAAAAAAATGGAATTTCCCAGTCTACGGTGGGAATAAGGCCCCCATTACAAAACCACATCATGTTATACCAGCTGCAGACTGTTGAACAAAGAAATATCCTCGAAGCAGAAAAGCTAATATTCTAAAATTGGTTTAAAAATGCTGTTTTACTTTGAAAAACCGTGGCTTAGATAAACTCTGCAGTTTGCAAAACTGGAATCGCCTTGGGTTCCCCCCAGCAGGAGGCAGATCCAAAAAGGAAGTGTGGAGTCCGGACTGGAAGTGGGTGTCGAGGAATGTGAGGTGCATAGCCAGGCTGTGTCCCATGTGGAGTGCAGCGCCATCCTCACATCCTAAGAATCAATAATATTAATTCCTTACTATTATATAGCAATTTTCTGGACACTCAAAGCACAGGTAATGGGGACGCCCCTCCACCACCACCAGTGTGCAGCCCCACCTGGGTGATGTGACGGCAGTACTCTCCCCACACACCAGCTATCAGTGGGGAGGAGAGCAGAGTGATCAGTTGATGGGGATTATTAGGAGGCCGTGATGGGTAAAGGCCAATGGGAAATCTGAACATAACACTGGGGGTAACACTCTTTTCGAGAAACACCCTCGGATTTTTAATGACCACAGAGAGTCAGGACCTCGGTTTTACGTCTCATGCGAAGGATGGCACCTTTTTACAGTATAGTGTCCCCGTCACTATACTGGGGCATTAGGACCCACACAGACGGCAGGGTGAGCGCCTCCTGCTGGGCCCACTAACACCTCTTCCAGCAGCAGCCTTAGCTTTCCCAGGTACTGACCAGGCTCACAGTTGCTGAGCTTCTGTGGGCTGTCAGATGGAGGGTGATGTACCTGCTACACCTGGCAGGAAGTCGGGCAGCGTGGCCTCAGGAACTCCTTTGCCACCTGCTTTTCAGTCACACCTCAGGAAGGGCCAGAGAGAAGCCCCTGAGGCTGCACGCGACGGGGCGGAGAGACAGGGGGCCGTGCGCCGAGCGGGATCAAGACCGGCGCTCGGCCGCCGCGCCCACACGCGTGCGCGCGAGTGTGTGCCCTCCTCACCTCCGCTCTTCCCCGTCCGTCTCATCCCGCAGGCTGTAAGTACACGGTTCACGATCGCTGCGCCAACAAGGACGTGTCGCCCTGCGCCCGCACCTACGTCAAGTCCAAGAAGGACACAACGGTGAGTTCTGTGAGCGTCTCTTCGGCGAGGTGCAGACTCGACAGGGTTAAGGTTCGAGAGGGCCGCTGGGGCTGCAGTTAGGGACAGGGTTCAGGAGAAAAGTAGCAGGAGTAGAAGGATGTTGTGATGTACGGTGAGTTTTTTTTCCCATTGTTCCCTGCAATGAACACCACTGAGGGGAACCCCGCTGATTTTCTGTGTGCCCCCCACAACAGAGTCTTGGATAAACTCCGGCCTCAATGTCCAGGTCAAGACTGGACAGTGTGAGTGAGTAGATAGGTCATTTGGTGGCCCAGGGCACTCACTCATCTGTCGTGCCTAGACATTTTCCCACAACTGCATCAGTGGACTAACCCACAAGGGGACGTGAATTCTCTCCCCACTCAGAGGGATGAAGCTTTCAAGCCGAGCAGTGCCTGAGAGGTTTTTTTGCTTGTGTGAAGCTCGGTTATTTACCCCTGTGTGTGTCTCTCTCTCTCTCTCTGCCCACCTCTGGCCGCAGGTGAAAGCTCACGAATGGGTCTGTGGAAACTGTGACTCCAGTAAGTGCGACAAGTGCCAGAAAAAGATCAAGAGCTACCAGGGCCTGACAGGACAGCACTGCATATGGTGCCACCTCAAGGTACGGGCACTCCCGTGGGTCAGATCCACAGCAGGGCTTTCACCAGTGCGGCTGCCCGTTATGGGGAAGCGTCAGATCCCGGCGAGCGTCCGTGCACCCCAACAAGAGTGCCAGTGCGTATCCTGTTGTTGTCTTTCAGCTCCACAACGAATGCGTATCCCAGATGTCTCTGCAATGTGACTGCGGCCCCTTGAGGGATCACATCCTGCCTCCCTGGGCCATCTATCCCATCATCCAGGTATCGCCGAGCCGTTCCCGGAAAAGCATGGTCCAGGGATACACCATCACCCAGGCTTCTGGAATCCCCCTGAATTGTCCACAAAATATCAGGAACCCACCCTGTACCTAGTGCCATGCTGGGTCTCTGTAAGCAGCTGGACCAGTTGGGGAGCTATGCGATGCCTGCTGTCCCTGTCCCCGTTTCGTGTCCTTTCTCAAGCAGGATGACTCACGGATGAGGCTGAGATGAGGTGTAGTGGTATTTTGGGACCCAGGTGTTGGTCTGGGCCAGGGAGCCGTGCTTCTCAAACCCAGCCACCTATCTGCCACTATTCACTCCTCCAGGGGTTCCTAAGACTGTGGACACTGAGTATTGGATAAGATCACTTCATTGGCCATATACAATTTCTTGTATTAGGAATTTGGTTTTTCGCATGCCCCAGCTTGCTCTCCATGAGACACACTGACAGGGAGAGAAGCTGGGGGTCAGAGCGCAGGGTCAGCCATTCATACGGCGCCCCTGGAGCAGTTGGGGTGAAGGGCCTTGTTCAGGGGCCCAATGGAGTGGGATTCCTCTGCCCGCCACGGGATACAAACAGGCAACCTTCCAGCCACAGGCACAGATCCTGAGCCACAGAGCCACCGCACCGCCCAGAGTACAGCTCACTCCCCACCCCCACCATGTACTGTTTCCCTGGTACGTGCCTGTAGTGAGCTCCTACCACTTAATTTCAGCTCTTATGAATGAAGCATCAAAGGTGCACATTCAGAACACGATTGCCTCAGTTATGACAGAGACACAGTTTCCATGCAATCATTTCAAATGATGCAGCAGCCCAGATACACGGGGCAGCCTGGATTGCACCACGTACCCGCTGGAGAGACATGTGAAGGCTGGGAGGCTGAGGCAGGAAACCTCTGGATCCAGTTTTGTGACAGATCAGGCCTCAGACTCCCTGCACTCCAGGACAGCTGTGAACCACGCCCTGAGCTCAGGATTGTCTAAATTAGAGGGACAGGGCCCTGCCAGGCCACACGATGCTCTGGTACTTTAGATTCTTCTGTGCTTTCATACTCGTGTATTTTGCACCACAGGAGCACAGCACCCTGAAAAATGGTGCTCCCAGTGCCACATCTCCAGACGACAACGGGCTGTACCACACCACGCCTGACGGGCAGGTCCTACGGGTATGCAGGCTGGCACCGTTCCCAATCCCTGTTTGTTTCTGGAGGAATTTGGTATAAGAAACCTTCCTAACTCATAACCAAACTATCGTCAGTGTGTAAAACGACTGTACAAGAAAGCGAGGGGCACAGAGGGACAGCTTCGGTCCGTTTCTTGATAGAGAAATGACAGAAGACTGTTCTAAATTAAGGAGTGCAAAGCTATTCTTCACCCCTAGACTAATCAAGTGTCCGTTTTGAGCCAGGTTTTCCTGTGCTATACATTAACTCAGTTGGCTTCAAAAGACACGGCTTATCTACAGTAACTGTTGCAATAGAGTTGTTACATCACAGTAAATGTATCTTAGAATTCTTATTGAACTGATAGGGAAATCAAGTAAGGTGAATCAGCAGAAGAACTCGAACCTTTGCACACACAGCACCTGTGAAAGATTGCAAGGTACCCAGTTATCTTTGAGTGTATTGAAGTATTCTACCCTGAACCCCAAACCCTTACACTGTTCCTGGTGTTTTCCCCAATGCCACCATTAAAAAGAGCTTTTCTGCTTCAGTCTGTGCTGTAGCAGAGCACTGAACACGTCCTGACTTGCACCCCTTCTTGTGCTTTCCCCACAGATCAGCCCTATCCCAGACACGCACCCCCTCCTGGTTTTTGTGAACCCCAAGAGCGGAGGCAAGCAGGGGGAGAGGTGAGCACCCTCCTGAGCTGGTCTTTTTGTCGAGCTCTGCTATCCAGTTAGGCTGGAGTTCCTGGGCTATCGTGTACTGGTGCCCGTGGAGTCTTTCACCTTTGGAGAAGTGCGTCCCCTGTCTTGTCCAGGATTAGTCTGCATCCACTGGCAGGATTAGGCCCATATTGAAAAAAAAATGTTCAACTCATCCAACTTCCATTTACACTAAGAGTTGCGGGGGAATGGAATAAGCTGTCCAGCCACGTTGAAACTGATACCCTGGATTCTTTAAAACAAGGGGTTGATGAGATCCCAGATCAATTAGCAACCAAACAAGCTTGATAGAGCGAAGAAACCTTCCTGATGCTCTGACAAAGACAGATTTGCTAGAGTCTTCTTCTCTCTCCCTTGTGGAAACCTGGCACTCAGTGTAGGGTTTAGATTTGGGTGACGCTTTGAAGTTTGGACTTAATTTGGGTGACGCCCTGTTGCCTGAACACTGTCTCTCAATCAGTCTGCTTGTGAGCTCTTTAAAATAGTGTCGGTGTTTGTGTTCCTGTTGCAGAGTGCTGAGGAAGTTCCAGTATCTGCTGAACCCCAAGCAGGTTTACAACCTCTCCAATGGAGGCCCCGGGCTGGGGTAAGACGGTTTATGATTAATTACACTGTACTTTCTGATGTGTGTGTAAACTGGGGGCTGTTTTATGGCTGGCAGTGCCAGGGGAAGCCTGTTAAGGTGCAGAGGGCAGAGAACTCCACCGCATGGTTTGTGTGTCTGGCTCCATATACTGTAAACCAGCCCCAGCTCTTGGATACAGTATTTGCCAATCTTATTGGGATAATCACACGTAGGAAGTCCTGCTGGCCTGAAAACAAGCTTAAATATTTGCTTTTCTGTTTCGTCATTATTTGTTGTACCTGAGCCTTCAGCTTGTCCTGTGTATTCTCAGATAGATTGAATTGTTTTATCAGATCCTTTTACGTCATGAATTGTGTTTTTTTTCCTTCATTTTCAATGCCCAGTTCTTATCCAGTTCCTAGGAACCTGTGGTTTCTGGCTTCTTTTCAAGGTGAAGTGTGGGCAACATTTTGAGGAGAGGGCCCAGTGGCGCCGCCCTGTTGGCTGCACTGTATCAGTGTAAGATGCTGCAGTTGAGAGCGCTTCTGGGCTGATTGCAGGTTCTCTGTCTCTTGGGATTGCAGGCTTCACTTTTTCCGAGACCTCCTGGACTATCGGATCCTGGTGTGTGGGGGTGATGGCACAGTGGGGTGGATTTTGGATGCCATAGGTAGGCACCGTCCTTTGAATTTCCCCCTGTCTCCTGTGCTGCTGCCAGCATTCCCCAGAGCAGTTCTCAGAGCAATCCACCCTCACCATGGCGAATTAGTTAGCTGGGTCTTCTTGCATCAGATCAATTACACACCATAAAGGGGGATGTTCATGTCACTGTCCACATACAACGCAAGTATAGCCGATTTCTGAGTGATGTGTCAGTCTTGTGCGTGTGTGTGTCCTGTAGTTCCAGAGCTACAGGAAGCGTCCTCACTTGTGAAGCTGAGGCTGTGTGCCACCCCCCAGGGCTGAAGTTGCTCCTTTCAGAACTGTGATGGCGAACCGATGGAAGGAGAGCCGCTCATCAAACCCACGGCGGGCTCAGAGGCATAGAGGGCACCAGCCTGGCCTCTCTGCTGGCACAGTTCTCACACCCCTCTTTCCCGCTTGTGTCTTTTCAGACAAGGCCAACCTGCTGGTGAGACCCCCAGTCGCGGTGCTGCCCCTGGGCACTGGCAACGATCTGGCCCGCTGCCTGCGCTGGGGAGGAGGTGAGGGGCACTGGGAGGGGGGCACCAGCAGGTTAACTTTCTGGCCGATAGCTGCCCACGGTTGTGTGGGTACCCCTTGATGCGCCAGAGCCTCTCAGCGGAATTTCGGTGCAACCTTCAGTGTCAGACGGGGGTGTCGCTTGTAAAACCGAGAGAGTGGGGGGTGGGGGGGGGAGATTCGGGGTCTGCTGCGCAGGACGTCCTGTTGGGAGGTGTCGCCCCCTCCCCACGTGAAGATCCCGTGGGATCAGGTTGAGGGATGAACCCGTGTGACGTGCCTGCACGCAGGATACGATGGGATGGATCTGCGCCGCATCCTGAAGGACCTCGAGAACAGTACGCAGGTGCTGATGGATCGCTGGAGCGTGACTGTGATCCCGGAGGACAGCAGGGAGAAAGGGGACCCTGTTCCGTACGAGATCATCAACAACTACTTCTCCATCGGAGTGGTGAGTCAGCGCCAGCCTGCATTGCTCCAAGGGTTTAGGTGAGGAGGGGGGACAGCAGTCCTGCCTGCAGGGGCTTGAGGCTGTCAGACCCTGTGAAAAACAGCCCCCTGGGGTATTTCAGGGGATTCTGCCTCGTCGCTGGTGTCAAAATCATCATTTCCGTACTATCGCTGGGAAACTCAATCCGGCTCCGCCTGAGATGTCACTTATCAGGTCAAACCTATTTTTATATAGTGCTCTCCACAGCAGAGTCTCCTGCAGCGTGACACACAGTTCCAGCGAAAAGGCAAACATTATTAAAATTCAAATTGTTCTCAACTTGGGCTTAAAGCATTCAGAGTCTCAGCCGATGTGGGCCCTCCAGCAGAGATACAGTTGTGGAAACAAGATAAAATAGACAGTCCAGATAGCTTCCCCTCTGCAGCTTTTTCAGGATGCTGTAAATGTCAGTCCTTAAAGTTGCCCGGACAAATTTCTTTCAATTTAGCCATTTTTTAATGTGCGTTAGTCAGTGCTCTGCCAGCTGTACATTGGCATAGATGCAGAACTGAACACAGATGAAGAGCAGCCAGTTGTTTGTGTTTTGAATCAGTGGTTCCTTTTTTCTAACGTCAGTGTGGAATGAATTTACTGCGTGAGAATGACTTGCGTGCTAAAAAGATGTAGCCACGTGCCCCTGCGCAGATGATACCGTGCAGCTTTCTCTGAGACATGCTGTGTAGCGGAATGGCTTTAAAGTGGTTATGTGTGTCCTCTGTTCTGCTGTGGGCTTCTGGTGTGAGTCTCTTCAGGATGTTTTGCTGGGTCAGGTCAGCTGCTGGAATGAGTCACTGACAGCCTGTCAGCTTTTATGAATGGGTGCTCTTGTGTTGGCAGGACGCCTCGATTGCCCATCGCTTCCACATGATGAGGGAGAAGTACCCCCAGAAATTCAACAGCAGGTAGGCACAGAGCTGCAGTGCTGAACAACAGCGTCCTACTGCTACCCACGAGTGCGTGGTTACTTTGTGACTGTCTGCATCAGAGCCAGGTGTGTTTCACACCTGCAGCCAAATAGGTTGCTGGTGTCTGCTCCCTTTTGTGCTTGGTGTTGTGTCACAGTGGATTTATCTCTGAGCCAGGCCTGTACGAGCTGAGCTGACAGTATGGTGGAATACAATGAGACAAAGGTTACAGACTCTCAAGAGCAAGTTCAGGTAGTGAGGATCTGAGAAAACTGTACCCGCTGAACTCCGCTGGCTAGTACATGCCATTCAGCAGAACCAGGAATGGGGATTATACAGGGCATCCTTCCCTCTTATTAAGACAGATTAACCATGAAATTCCTGAAAAGATCTCTTTTACACCACACCACAGGATTCGGTTAAGCAGTCCTTACCCCAGTTAAATGAGTCAGTTTGCATAATAGCTTTTCTTACTGGACTTGTGTCCTTACAAATTAGCTCGTTCTTTACTTAGTAGCGATCCCTAGTACAGCCAGATCTCCCCTCGAAACCATGTGGTTCTTCTCTCACTTTCCAGTGTACGTCCAGAGACACAGAGAGGCCCTGCGGGGTTTCTATGTCTCTTCAAATCACCGTTCTCCTTGTACTGGGAGGAAACTAAACGCTGGACAATTCGTCCCAAAAACGGAGTAATTGAATTTCACAGCAACTCAAGGAAAACTATAAATAAGCGACCAATGTGAGGTGCTGTAGCAGCTACTACAGAATATACAGATCTGCCAGGATTCATTCTTCTCTTAAAAGCAAACAGCTAAGATGTCAGATTGCCACGGCATTGTGTTTCTGCATAAAGAAGGAAGAATGCAGAGTAAAAGAACAGAACAGCGTGCCGCTGACTCTAGAGTTCTGCACAGCAGTGTAATTCATTACTTATGACCCAGTTTAAGTTTTTAGACCTTCTGCAGTAAATGTGCTCTTGGCTGCACTGTTGAACGATCCTAGTTCCTAGGCGACTACTGTACTGTCTGCATGAATGCAAGTTTGTGGGTGATATTACTTTATTTCGGGGGGGGCATGAGTAATAGTTGACAGCACCAGCCCTGTCAGACCCGTGCCGTGCCCTGTGAACGCCAGGTAGCGGGTGAGATGGTAACAGCAGCACCGCACCGGGCTGGGGGGCTGTGTGAGTGTGGCGCGGCTGGTGAGTACCCCCCTGCTTCTGCCTTTCCCGTCTGCTCCAGGATGAAGAACAAGCTGTGGTATTTTGAGTTCGCCACCTCCGAGACCATCTCTGCCTCCTGCAAGAAGCTGAAAGAGTGCCTGACTATTGAGGTGAGTTCAGGGCTTGGAGCCCCACTCCATGTGGGACAAATCCCACAACCACTGCAGAAGGCTTTTCAGACATAATAGTAATAATAATTGCTTATACTTATACAGCACTTTTCTGGACACTCCACTCAAAGCGCTTTACAGGTCATGGGGATCCCCTCCCCACCACCACCAGTGTGCAGCCCCACCTGGATGATGCTCCAGTACGCTCCCCACACACCAGCTCTCAGTGGGGAGGAGAGCAGACTGATGAAGCCAGTTCATAGATGGGGATTATTAGGAGGCCATGATTGGTAAAGGCCAGGGGGAAATTTGGCCAGGATGCCAGGGTTATACCCCTACTCTTTTTGAGAAACGCCCTGGGATTTTTAATGACCACACAGAATCAGGACCTTGGTTTTATGTCTCATCTGAAAGACAGCATCTTTTTGCAGTATAGTGTCCCCGTCACTATACTGAAGCATTAGGACCCACATGGACTGCAGGGTGAGCGCCCCCTGCTGGCCCCTCTAACACCTCTTCCAGCAGCAACCTTAGCTTTCCCAGGAGGTCTCCCATCCAGGAACTGACCAGGCTCACGCTGGCTGGGCTTCAGTGGGCTGCCCGCGGGGTGGTATGGCTGCTGGCTGACATCTCTATTAGTGGACAAATTCTTCAAAACATCTTGCCTTGTCATCCAGGAGCCATGGCTACTGCTCTGCATGGCTGAGAGCTAATTAGATTTCCTCTTACCAATATCCTGACTCTGTCAGGCCTGTGAAGAAAGAGCGAGGAACTTTGGACAGCACGCCATGTCGCTGTCGGAAAGAGCTCCTCTTTTTTTAACAGGAGATTGGGGCTTCATTTCAACAATATAAAAAAATGCTTATTTTAATGCTGAACTGTAATTGGATAAATCTGGGAGTGTTTTAATCACAGTTACCACATTGCACCACAGAAACGTCTGCCTTGGATTAAGACGGCGCCTACTTCGGCATTCCTGAGCCCCGTTGCTGATAAAGTGGCTCAGTGCGCCTTGAGGAACTCAAACCTGAAGCTCAGTTCATAGGAAGCCTGCTGGGGTTCTGTGTCAGTTTAAACCGCATCCAAAGAAGCCCAGCCTGGCTTTCACATTTAAACCTGAATTAATGTAAACACTCATAAATGAAAGGCTTGCTTTTCTTTTTGGCATCGCGCGATTACGATCCTTGGGCTTAATCTGGAGTTCCTGCTCATGATGTAGGTGCAGTTATCCCTTGAAAGTTGTATGGCTACTGCATAGAAAAGCTTTCAGGTTCTATGTTTTCACACACCAGGCTGCAGCATGGTGTTTGGGTTGTGCAGTTTTCCTAGTGAGTGCTGTTCAAGAACTAAGATCCTGGGTTCTGTCGGGTTTCCTATAATCTGGCAGTGAAATTGCACAAATTGTGATGCGATCAGAACCAATGCTTCAACAGTAATAAAAGTGGATCGTGATTGTTGGTTCACTGGAATATATTGCAGTTCTTTTGTTTTGTTAAGTTGCAAAATGTGTGCTTTGTGGCTCACGCTGTTCTGTAAAATGACTTAACTAAGCATTCCAGCCCAACCAGTCTTTCTATCTGTCAGTGCTGCGGGGTGCCCCTTGACCTCAGCAACCGCTCATTAGAGGGCATCGCCGTCCTTAACATTCCCAGCATGCATGGCGGCTCCAACCTATGGGGTGAGCCCAAGAAGTCGGACGGCAAGGCATCGGCCAATCAGGAGCCCCCGCCGGTGATCACAGACCCCGAGGTCCTGAAAGTGAGCGTGCAAGGTAAGAGGGGGCACGCCCCAGTGCTTGCACATACCGCTGCAAAATTCCGCTTGTGCTTGGGATTGCTTTTCCCTCACTTCCTCTCTCGCGCTCACAGACCTGAGTGACCGGAGGCTGGAGGTGGTGGGGCTGGAAGGGGCGATTGAAATGGGGCAGATCTACACCGGACTGAAGAGTGCTGGGCACAGACTGGCCAAGACATCCCAGATCACCATCCGGTAGGCGCCCTTGCCATGCACAAGGCATAGACACAGAGGGAGCACTGTACCCCCCTCCCCCCCACCCCCCCCACCACATCTGGCCAGGGCGCGGTGAGGTGGTGTGGGTCCAAAGAGAGAAATTCCTGTCCGCTCCTGGGAAAAAGCTCTACTCCAAGAGCATCATAAAGCTTAGAAGTGTAAAAAGGTGAGTTTTACCTCAGGACAGTTTGGAATTCAACGTCTGTCTCCCTTTCTCTCCAGCACTAAGAAAGCCCTTCCCATGCAGATTGACGGGGAGCCCTGGATGCAGCCCCCATGCACTGTAAGTGTGTCGGCCTGGAGCACTCCCTGCACTACACCCTCGAGCTGCGTTTCGCCTCATACAGAGGTCCCTTTGAGGCTAAGACCTCTTTTTTTAACAAGACACCTGAGGGAGGTGGGGGGGCAGAGAAGGGATTTTTAGGTGGGGTTGCAGGTGGTCTGTGGATTCCACAACCTGTTTGTGTGTTTTGTCGGATCCCAAGAAATCCGGTAACACGCGTGTCCTGGTGAAAATCAGACAGGCACTTGTCTCCAGCGAAAGACAGTGTCTCATTCCTGATTTGTGCCTGGAGTGTGGGTCGGGTGGCCTCATTCGCCTCCCCCGCTCGTGCCTGGCTTGTGTTTGAGGACGACTGAAACGTGCCTACGGTTCAGGCAGGAAGAGGTGACAAGGTTGTGTGCGTCCTGAAGGAATGCTGTATTCCAATGGTGTGGCTCCCGGGTTTAATTAGGTTAGAAAACTGGACTTGCCTCATTTATTGTAAGTTACCTGACCTGACTTTTCTCGAGGAGAGGTGACGAGGTGCCTCTGTGCTCTCAGCTTCCCAGAATTACTTGTGCTTTTTTTATCGGACCCGTGTGCAACAGCCTTTTCCATCACTGGGTGAAATGAAGAAGCAGAGCCGAGCGCCAGCGTCCTCACCCGCTCTGCAGTGGGAAAGTGGCACAGTGGCACCTCTTGACACCCGTTCTCGAGTGGTCAGATAACCCCTAGCCAAGGACTCATTTTTTTTATCCCAAGTGAAGAACGAAGAACCGGTCGTGACGATCCGTCCGTGTTTTGGGCTTACGGGTGCCCGTTCTGACATGACCTGCCTGGGCTTCTTTCCCCAGATCCACATCACCCACAAGAACCAGGCCAATATGCTGATGGCACCTCCTCCTCGCTCCTCCAGTTTCTTCCACCTGAAGAAGAGCGCCCCCGAGAGTTAACCCCTGGGACTGCGACAGGCACGGCGCCTCCCGTCCCCCCACCCCTGTCCCACGTCATCAGGGGGGCTCGGCGAGAGAGACGGACAGACGGCACACACCCCTTTACTCTCTTTTTTTTCCCCAGAAATTAAGCCCCCAGTCACATCATGGCATGATGGCTGTTTCCACTCTGATCAGCGTAGAGGGGAAAACCTCCTCAAAGACAGATCCCAACATTTCAAACAGAGAAAAGGGTCAGCCACGTATTCATTGTGCTAACCCTCCGACTTGCAGCTCCTCAATGCCACTAACCCGGCCACTTGCAAGCGCCCTTTATTCCAGGTTTTGATTTCATATAGTTCGCCCAGACTGTGCAAAAGTATTCCCGAAGTATTTCCAAACAGAATTCTGGACCCTACCTTGTAGTGCACAGGTGAAATTCCTACATGAGCTGTAGTCGGCATTCAATGGGATTGTTGGATCATGACGGCACGCGGACTGGATTCGGGATTGGGAATTTCCAGGACACTTTGGTTTCATCCTCTTTTCTTGCTTTTATCTCCAGTTGGTGTTACAGTGATGCTGTCCTGTCAGTGGCCTTTTCTTGTGTTTTCCAGTTGTTTCTGAAATAATTGAAATGCATTGTCTGCTATTCTTGTACTTACAGAGAGACGGTGCAGGCAAGGGTGGATGTGATATTTATAGTGGTTGTAGAGTCAGACAGGTGTCTTCCCAGTGCACACACTGCTCATAGCAGACCTCTTATTTAATACTGGTGCGACAGATAAAAACATTCCGTCAGACCCTGGTCTGGTTGTCGGTAGTCAAAACAAAACTGGGACTACCAAAGGTACAGCATGCTATTTCTTAGACACTGGCAGATCAGTGTAAAGTTTAACTTTCGACATGACTTTTTTCCCGTTTACAGCTTGACAGCGCCCCCCTGTGGCTGGCTGGGGTCCTGCATACCTGCAAAAGTGAGAATTGTGTCAATCCTGCATCCTGCTCCTTGTTGTTTGTGCTGTATGGCTGTAGTGTGAAAAAAGACAATGCATGTTTTGGAGGAAGTGTGCATGGTTCCTTTTATTTAATGTAGGTGGTAGCAGAGAGATCTGAACCGATTAATGAATGCCAGCACCAAATTGCTGTAATGCAAGGAGATAATTTAATCAGTCCCTCAGACTTTTTTTGTCTGAAATGTAAAAGGTAAATAGACTATCCTGCAGCTGGGTGGTGAGGCTTAGTTGCACTTTTACTTCAGAGGTTGCTGTGCCTTAAGACTTTGGTCTTGTGCAACATGGAAAAACGTCCCCTTGTCGTTTCCGGATTACAGTGATTATCAAGTCTTAAATATTCAGTCATTCATGAACTTTTCAGCTTTGAGTGACGCTCAATTGCTTCCCCTAGCATCCAGTTGTTTAAAATCTTTTTAGAAGGTGTTTTTTTGTGGAACATTTACTGGGCAGAACAAGAAAAGGTCATGAGGAAATAGTTTAGCTTTTACTCATTGGGCTCAAACAGTCTCTGTACTGTTCTATAGCTGCTCTGTGAACTGAATCCAGATTTGTGCTACAGTAGTCAGCGAATTTATTAGAACACCCTGTTGCTTTGGTAGTTTTGATGTGCTGAGCATGTAAAATCAAACCACTGTGTATTAAAATCTTCAAAAAACTATCATAACGGTCTGTGTTTGATGGCTTTAATTAGCTGCTGAATTCAATTTAAACCAGAACAAGAAGAGGAAAAGATAAAATGAAAGGGGTTGTCTAGAAATTTGGAGGTCGGTCGTACAGTAAAGAACCAACAGCAGGCAGAATTACATCTTGCTGTGTGATCCGAGAAGCTGTTTGGAACCACGATTCTGCGTTCCGAGAAGATCCTTATGTAGACAATTCTGAGAAATGTCAAACTTTGCTTGAGGTTCTAAATTAGTTCCTTACAAGATGTGTTTGCAAAACTGAATGACTAGTTTTTTTTCTGTAGTGAATGAATACTTACTTGTGTGTGTTCTGAAGCTCAATAAAAGACATTTACTGAGGTGTCACAGTATATGTTTTGCTTTTGCTCTTGGCTCTGCAGTGACAGTCTAGCCAATGCACATGGTTTATGTTATTACAGGTTCCTGGGAATCATGTGATATCAACATCTTAATAGACGTGCAGCAACTGTAAGTGTGGTTTGTAGACGAGGGCCCTGTTATTTTATCAGGTTTGAACGCAGTGGGTAGCCTGTTATTTATTGTGTTTGCTAATGTATACTTTTCAAACGCTGAAGTCCCCAGACTCAGCTCAGCCTGGTTTGCATTTTAGAGACGATGTTCTGTGGAGCCATTCTTATAGTGTCATAATAAATCAAATACAGAATCTGTGTCAGTTTGCTGCCTGGCTGGCTCTTCTGTCTCGTCTCTGATTTCTATGTTGGTAAAGATAATACAGCGGGCATCTCTGGCCCCTGGAGGCTAATACTGCTGGTGGACTTCAGGTCACTGGTTGTATAGGACGTTGGGTCGCTGGTCAGTGGTGCTGGTGGACATCGGATCACTGGTCACTGGTGCTGGTGGATGTCGGGTCACTGGTCTGGCGGACATCAGGTCACAGATGCTGGTGGACCAGACTGGGCTACTGATATTAGTGACCTGACTAGCACCAGCAGCCATATCGCCCTGCAGCTCATAACTGGCAGCCCACTGAAGCTCTGCAGGTGTGAGCCTTCCTCGATGGGAGGCCACCTGGGAGAAACTAAGGTTACTGCTGGTGTAGCGGAGCTAGTTTGGATACGGTGACGTCATCGTCCTCCCTGGGCGTAGCAGGGACCTCAGCTGCCTGGGCTGAGGGAGGTCTCCTTTAGCTCACTCGGCTGGTTCCCTGTTGCGTTACGCCAGAGACCCGGGTTTGAGCCCCAGGTGTTGCGGGATGAAACGGGTGGCAGAGGGTGGTCATGGTGGTTAGTGTTCTAGGATTTGGTGTCCACTCCTCTGGGCTCTGAGCCGGAGGGTCGTACACTCATCTTGCTCCTATCTGGGGTGGGCTGACTGGTCTCTTCAGACCATCTTCTCTGTCAAGACTACAAGAGGTCAGTTCCATCACCGTGTCAGTGCAGGACTGGTCACCCTGCAGACACACTGACCCTACAGGACCAGGGCTGGACACCCAGCAGACACACTGATCCTGCAGGACCGGGACTGGACACCCTGCAGACACACTGACCCTGCAGGACCAGGACTGGACACCCTGCAGACACACTGCCCTGCAGGAC